ACACACACACACACACACACACACTCCATACCAGGGGCGGCTCGTGGGTCTACAAAGTGGGCGTGCACAATTTAAGCTATCTTAGATTGAAGATAGTCAAGGGCATAGTAAATGAGATGGTGTATAATTTTAGGATCTTTGGGTTGTTGAGTGAGAACCTTGTGATTCTATTTTCATTCTTTTCACTTGTGGCTTTGACTTCTAGAACCAAATCTGTTTGTTAGCTAAACTTATTTCATTCATCCTGCATTAGAACTGAACTCTCAAGTAATACCTTTCCCCACTCCACTACAAAAACGTCCAAAAACACAACTCACAGGACGATGGGTGACTTAAGTATGTCACGTTCACCTCCCACAGGTTCACGGTCACAGAGTCACTTAAAATAGCGACAAGACAATGAACCAATCACAATTCACTTGAGCACTCCGCTGGATTGCTCCGGGTCTCACATAATTGTGGCATAGAATAGTGCACAGTCTATCGCGTTTATTTATGGATTGCCTACTATGGGCTACGTTTCGGCACTATTCGGCAGGAGCACATTTAACTAATTTAAGATGTGCCGTCTTATTAATATTAATGTACCACCAAACTCTCTACGAGTGTCGTCATCGCTTGGGTTATCCCATAGAGCGATTTATAGGTCAGGTTTCCCCTGTTGAATATCCTGTTATGTTTAGATACAGTGCATGAACTTTGGCATGGCATATTAGATGTTTTACGGCGCTATAGATACAGGAATGACAGTTACGGCGCCAGCAAGGACCTTGTTTTGGTATAATATTTGGCTAGTGTTTTTTTCTGGCGTCTTTTACTTTTTTTGTGCTTTACGTAATAGAACATTAGAACATTTTAGGCGGCACTGCACGACCGTGCTCTATGAACGAACCGCGCCTGCTCCATACATATTTTAACAACCCACTACACTATCCTAGAATTATAAACGTCTATCACTATCTGCCCAGTAGATCTACCGTACCTAGTTTTGAGAAATTTGACGTAAAAAATCCTGAATTTACAACATATCAAGCTTTTTCGAATGCACTTGTTGTCTGAATAATAATATCCTCAAGACGACTCCGAATAATATCCTTACGATTTTGATGGAGTAGATAAAAACATTAATTATTGCAGTTTTCTGACCCCATGATCTTAGTAACTTAAAACGTCCAAAAATGTGAGAAAGAACATAGTTATTATAAGTAAGTAGAGATCAACTGTTTACACTTCTAATGACGCTATCGCATTACTAATCTGTATATTATAATTATTATATGCGGTAGGCCTATTGCGCATGCATTATTCAAAGTGTACTGGCAACGTGTTGAAAGTCACACGCGCTCCTTCCAAAATGCTGACTACAGAATAATTATTTCAAGCCTGTGTTTCAATTTGTCAACCAACATCTGTTACAAAGGCTCAGCGAAGAGTACTCCGGTAGGTAGGTATCATATTCAGGACTTTCAACCTTCATGTACGTAACTCAACATTGAGCGACTGATATAATAGGGCGAGGCACCCCCC